AGCGCGCAATGTTTGCCAAAACCTTAGATTGGAATAAGTAGTTTGACGTCTTGTGTTTATCAGACAGTAAAATTTTCTCAAATAATAACAATTTTTGAAGCGAAAATTCGATTACATAAGGTAAAAATATCGGACACCTTGTTCAAACTTACAAAGCTTCGTAACGTTTGATCAATATAACAACGCGAACGCGCGAAGCGGCCAAATCTTGGATTATTTATGGTTTTTCGTTTTTAAATGTCATTTTTTAAAGCGCTCATCAATGATGCATCTTTTTGCATAAATTAGAATACGGAAATCCTCAAGGGACGTACCTCTAAACGTACGCTAGCTAACATGCTCAAAAAAATTTTTACACATACAATAGATGACAGATTAACTGCTAAATTACAAAAAACTTAATTCCACAAAAATGTATCAGAATGTACAAAACCTGATAGCTACAGTAAAACAATCAATGAAAGGTATTTTACCTTGTACTTGGTTGAAAGATGGGAGGATTCCAATTACAGATGGTCCTTTGACTCCTTTGACGTCACCATCTTCATCGATTGCTTGAAGCCCATACTCCACTTGTTTCTTTGCGGTCCGCATCTTCGGAGGGGCTCTGTATGGATAATATCTTGTTGGTGGACCTCCATGGATGGTTTCACCAGCAAACTCACACCAGTCACAGCCGTGCCTACCGTTGAACTGCTTACAGTTTTTGACAATGGCCCTGGCAGGTGAATCGGCACTGAGAATATGTGCAAAAACTTTTCTTTGCTTACCATCTTCAAACGTAAACCCCTGTGTTTCCAAAAGTTTGCACTCGTCAACAAATGGTTTCAGAAATGTATTCATTGCTGGCTTTTTGTTTCCAAACCAGAGTCCATGAAGGAGAATATGCTTCTCGCGTAAATGCGGAGGAAGTTCGTTAATTGCACTCTGAACTGGCCAAATAGAGTAATTTGAGGATTCAAAGACAGAAACTCCGTCTGTGTTCCACGTTAACGATAAATCATTGTGGGAAAAAGTTATGATCTTCCACTAACTTATTATACAGCTTACCAGATGTTATGTCTGAAACCACACCTGTTGCATTCCTTTCAATGGTATGATTTGTCAAAAAATTATTTAGCTTGTCATTAATTAGCATGTTCTTAATTTGACCTTCCATTGGTAAATAGAGAAAGTAGCTCCCTTTCTTTGTACATTCATCAGCATCGAATTGTTTGTTGCAAGATTCACAATGCCTTTCTACTCTGCTCTCACCAAGATAAAATAGGCAAGAAGGACAATAAAAGTGAACCTGAAACAAAAAAAATCTATTTAACTGAATTCTTGGGTTTCACAATAGTAAAGTGAGTGAGGGTCAAACTCAATTTTTATTGGCATTTAAGCTGCACGAAAGTGAGCAAATGGTATGAAATTGTACATAGTTGCTACCAAGCAAAAAGTCATGACACACAGTTAACAATTATCTCGCTCATTTGACTGTGTCTCAATTTAGAGTTGACCCCAACTGAAATTTAAGACGTGATATAAAACCCAAACTAGAAACTGTAACAGTTACCAGAAACTGTAACGATACTCTTTTAAAAGTGACATTGCCTAGTGTTATAGATAAATTAATTGCTATAATCACAGTGAACAAACTGTATGTTCATACACAGTTACAGTATCTGCACCTTTCTCAGTAATAAGAAAATAATGGTTAAACAGGCAGTCAAAAAGAGCTGCTCAAGGTAAAATTTCATTATTAGAACAAAATTGTACAGTTTGTTACAATTTTTTAGATTTTGCCTAAACACTGCATCACAGAATTTTTATATTAAGCTCTCGAAGAAATTTCACACAATTTTTAGAAATATCATGAATTGTCTTAGAGTGTGGTGTGGAAAATTTGCAACCATTTCCTGGTCTTGACAAAGCTTCAATGATTGACCAGAAAACATGAAAAATTAAAACCGATGGGTCCTAGGCCACAAATTGATTTTGAAAGTTTAGTAACTATACCAGCACTATCCCAGGAAGGATATTTGTAGCAGAAGATTGCTTACAAATTTAGGTGCAGTCAAAAGTGTGAGTAAAGTGTTCAGCTGTTGGTTGTAATTAGATATTATTGAGTTCCTTATAGTCCTGTTGAGTAGACTATTTCCTAATTGATAGGCAATGCATGGGAACAAGACTAACAATTTCTTGATATGTTGACGTAAAAATACCTCTTTCTTCTAAGTCATTTTAAACAATTAAGCTACAGGGATTTACTATTGACAAGTAAAATAACCTTGTGTTAAAAAGAGTAAAGTAAACCACTAAAACACCAGGGCCATGCACTAGGGCCCAAAACAAATCTAATTACTTGTCATTTTTTTCAACAATGATGTACATATAGGAGCAACAGAATGTTAAACTTTAATTGCATTTTTATGCACCCTGTATACTGGTAAGCAAAACACTTTTTTATAAATATACAAAATAAACTTCAATATTACCTGGAATAATTAATCCAGATTCAATTGCCTTTAACAATTTGTACTTTGTTGCTGGAATTACATCTGGTAATAGGGTATTTAGCAAAATCAATAAATCTTGCAGCGCCTGATGCGTAAGATGATGTCGAATGATATATGACACAACAAGAAGTAGACATTGTGCTTTTGTAACATTTGATCCTGGATACAGTGGGTTTTAGTCAACCAAATTTGCTCGCTATTTTAATAAGAATTGGAAAAATATTATAGTAGGTATAGTTAATAAATGTACTTACAACTACTCTTGCACACACAAAATTATATTAGATTTAACTGAACATTGTCTGTAAGATATAAACAGACAACCTCAGAACATTATAGTGTAACAACAAAAATTCACCTGTGCCACTAGCCTGTGGCCTACAGTTAATTTTTAATGCTTTTACCGCATTCTAATTTCACCTGTGTATCTATTACTAAACAGACAAAGAGGGTATGGAATGTATTTGTTCAATAGAGGGTTCCACATGCTTCAAAGCCAAGCTAAAAAGGAGGTATAATCATATAGACATGCACAATGACTTTTTCTGTATTCACTATTTTTACTAAATCCCATAATGTATAGTTTTGTAAGGGCTTGGTAACCGCTGGGGTACAATGGGGTACCATTTTGATTGCTGTGCATAAAGCATTATTAGATTTATTGAAAATAGTGAATAGTTTCCTTGGTTTGACCTGGCCTGCAATAATTTATTATAAACATGTCATACCAGATTATTATGATTTTCAGTTGGTTGTTCATCATCTGTTTCAGGCTCTATCTCAAAAAATAAGTCTTCTCCTTCCTCTTGGAATTCATGAGTGTCACTCTCAAGATCTGAATGTATAGGGTCATTTATGGTCCTTATGTTATTCTGTAAATATTAAAAATAATAAACAACTTAAATAGAAACAAACTTGTTTTACTGGCAAGACAAAACATACTTTTACTGCACAAGTGAACATCATGTGTGTATAATTACCTGCAAACAATCTTCAACTATATTAAGATCTTGTTCGTTGTTATTGTGGACATCGGCATTGAAAACAATGTTGTCTTCGTCGATCACTTCAACTAAGCGTTGGCGTTTACGTCTGTCATACGAAGTAGATTTGGGGACTGAAATACTTGTATCTACTTCGTACTGTTTGTATGGTCCCCTTTGAGGCATTATCAAGTTCTGAGTATAGAAATATACTCCAAAAACATGGCCATAAAAGTATATATTTCAAATGTTCTGTAGTTTTTTACAGCAAGAAGCCAGGATTTGAATTGAGCGTGCGACCACAGACCGCCGACCAGTGTTTTCAGCGGTTATTACAACCACAACAACCAATCAAAATCTTTAAAAATGACCTCATCATCTTTTCCAGCAATTTCCCAGCATTCCATGGAACGTAAGAATTCGATACTTCGGCGTCGCTTCATCACAGGAATTTTATTTGCGTTGTAGTTTTTTTACAGATTTTTACAGTAAAATACTCTTCATTCATACGATTTTACAATGAAATTTGCTTTGTATGAGTTTAGCGAAGACCTCAGCTGTGCCGTGGGCGAAAGTAGTTGGATTGTAAATGAGGATGAGTCTTCATTCAACAATGATGACTGGGTGACAAAAAAAGAAGTGTTAGTACGTTGGCCAAAAGAGAAGAAAGACTATTTAAAATGGTCCAAAAAACCCGAAAAATTCCCGCTAGATTCAGAATATATGACAATAACCTACACTGCTCGAGTTGTAAAGTTCCACGGTAAGTTCTAGACTTATATTCACATAGGATATTATGACCATGAATTTTTTGAATCAAGTTAAATATTTAAATTTAGCGCGCACACTGAAAATTTTTTTAAAAATTTATTTGTAAACCAGACCCCATATTCCGCAAAAGTAATGCTGTAGTCCTTTCGGTTAATTTTAAGACACTTAAAATATATATTGCAATTCTGCCTTGTTTTATTTTTATATACTGTATTAACTGTGTGCTTGCACCACATGAGCATGTGACTAGCACTAATGAGTGGAATGCACAGACAGCACAGGTTGTCTGCCATCTTGAATTCCACCGTGCTGGAGACTGGTACGACTATTTTGCAAATTTTATTTAAAAGTTTTGAAATAAGATAGTTAAAAGAATTTAAATAGTTTTATTGATACTGTATATATATATATATAATTACTTTGGCATGGGAAATATTTCATGCAATTGTTGAAAGGGTGTATTGGAAATTAATGTGTAAAAACATGCATCGATATACATGTTTACATTGGAAGTATGACCATCTATTTTGAGAGCTAGATAATTATAAAAGCTATCATGAAAATCTGTTCTCAATATTACAGAATATTGTTGTTGTTGTTACAGTATATACAATTTTATTCCTGCACATATTACTGTTCACAAATAAAGCAACATATTTTGAAATTAATTATGTATTTTAAATTTGAACCAACATATGAATATAATAGCATTCGCAAATTGATGACAACCTATTCTGATACTGGCACAATGCAGACACCTTCAAGAGGAAGGGGCCAGAGAAAAGGGAAGCGAAATGACCGCTATTTTGACACAGATGATGATGATGATGATGATGATGAAGAGAAAGTAAAACAGGTAGACTTTTTTTTGTATGAACCTAGGTAGCTCAAAAAGTACTTCTGTTCAGTTACATATTGCGGTCTGTCACGCACGTATGCTACTAATGGTATACAATGAGTAGCATATGTGCATGACAGACCGTAATATGTAACTGAACACAAGTACTTTTTGTGTCACCGGTCACAATATGCATCACCGGTCACACTGGTCGACATGCGTCACTGGTCACAATATGTCACTGAACACAAGTACTTTTTGGGCAACCTAGTCTTGATGCACCCAAAGAAAACCAGATGATTTTGTTTGTCAATGGGGAAGTGCTGGAGCTTAATGGGTTAATAGGCTTTAGCTATTTGTATTAGTAAAACCAATTGTTGCTTGATGTCAACAATGGCCATCATAGCTTTTGCAAACACATAATTTTTGCTTCATCGTATTGGAAAATAGAATGAAATATTCCCATTTATACCAATTAATACAAAAATACATACAAGTTAAAAAAAAACGTGTGAAAAATGCATGAAAACATGGCCAAAAACCGTGGAGAATAGGAACAATAGCGTTTCTACAACAAACACTGCTGACTCGTTGAGCATTACTATGGTGAATGATTTGTTAAATTAGTGTTGCCACTGTCTTCTCACCTAGTCAACTTTCTCTGTGAGAGGAAACCGGAGTGCCCAGAGAAAACCCACAACTTTTGGCGGAGCATTGACTTTACTTACGTTACATGAGGACTGGGTTTGGGTCACATTTAAAAAAATCCTAAACTTAGAATCAAAAGCAATTGTGCTAACCACTTGGTCCCGGAATATTTTGCCAAAAAACTAATGGCTTACTAATTTTATGTCTGCATGTCTTCCATTATTATTTTGTGTAGCCTGCAAAGAAACAGAAGACAGTTAAAAAGAAAACCTCAAATTCAAAGGTGTCAAATGAGTATATTGAAATGCTCAAAGAAAAAATTTCAGGAAAAAAGCAGGCACAGGATAATTGTGAGGTACCTGTACTTGTGTAGATGTTGCCAATAATTTTTGGAAAGCAAATCTGAAATGCTGTAACAAGCAATAAAAGTGGAACACAAAACTCAGCAACAGTGTATACGTATAAATAATATTTTCATCATTTCATGTAGGACAACTCTGCAGAATCATGTGATGAATCTGATAATCAAGAGATTGAGCCGGCCTTTATGAATGTGAAGGATGACGATTCTATGCAAAAGAAACTGTATGCCAAAGATGAACAGATAAAGTCATTAAAGAAGCAAATTAAGAATATGAAAGGTAAATAAAATGTTGCTTTCCCTTTTTCTAATATATATTTTTAAATATCTGTATTATCTACACTGTCATATAGTCACAGAATTTAAATTAATGAAGTAAGTGAATCGCGATTTGCTATCTGTTTTTAGCTCTTCACTATTCAGTTCAACATTCAAGCATTTTATCATTCAAAATATAATTTTTGACACCAAAAAAATTATGTAAAAACGGACGTAATCTGCTTGAGCTTTCACGACACATGCTGTTATTCCAAACAACTGGTAAATAACAAGATAGCATAACTTGCACTAGCTGTGCAGACAATTGTATTATTGTATCGTTATTTATGAAAATTAAAAGAAATTCCATTGAAACTGATGTCTATATGAGATACTTGACTAAGAACCATTTACACAATAAATACAGTGCTTTGTTGAATACTGAATGTCTGAATATATTGTGACTGTTTTGTAGACACACAAGATTTGCAAGACTTAGTAAGGCAACTGAAGGATACAGTGGAAAAGCTGAATAAGTGGATTACACCTGGCCGTAAATGGGAGCAACAAAATATGATCAGTGAACCATCTGGAACTAATAAAGAATCTTCTGAGTCTTCACCAATTTTAACAACTGCAAATCAGTGTTCCAGTTCTGACAATGAACCTGACAGAGTGAGTTAATAATCTTATATACTGGGACTTAGGCTGTGCAAAAAAAAGTTAAACTGTGTAGGTTTATGTACCTGAAGAAGTATGTAGCTATCATGCTAAATAACTCTTGCTTCCCTAGTTCCAGCATTTTTGAATCTGATAAAGTTCAGTCTGAGTAGTTGTGACTTCTATTACTTAGTTTTTGCAAATTCAAGGTTGACTATATGCCAGAAATGTTGCAATATACCTGACAGTTGTGTGTCTATAAGCATACATTTCATGTTACTAAGCATATTTTTTGTTGTTTCATTTAGGTTCTGATTTGTCCTAAAATTGAAATAAACAAAGGGCAAAAAAAGGTTTTGTCTGGAAAACATACTGCCAAAGACTTTGTTTACACAATACTGCCAATGATTTGGTCACGACAAGTGCTCTGCACACATTCTGTAACAGGCCGACAATCAAATGCACACAAAGAAAGGGACGCAAAGCCTCAGCTTGATGCTGAAAAAGTTAACAGTCTATGCAGCAAGTATACAGAATTAAATTTGGCACTACTTATGTCACTGGCAGCATAATCTTCACTCAGTGTAACCACAGTTAATAGAATATACATGGTTTGGAGACTAGATAAAAGTACAATACAACTCATTAACTATGTTATTGCATAAACCTACCTCAACATAGTTAATGAGTTGTATTGTACTTTTATCTAGTCTCCAAACCGTGTATTAACTGTGGTGTAACCCAGTGTATAATGTTGCATAAAATAGTAAATCTGGAAGAGATTTTGACTGTTGCAGATTTCGTGACTTTGTCTTTCAGTATCTAAGTAATCTCTAACCTAACCCAAAAGTCACTTACATAGACATGTGCTTTGTTTCTATTCAGGTTATGTGTCGCAGAAATTTGGGGATGTCACTCCTAAAGAGGTTAGGCGCCATATGACATCCAAGGATTTTAGGGGAATTATTACTTTAAGAGTCAATTGTCATTCCTTTAGGGTTTGATGGGAATTCCATTAGAATTTTATAGGAATTTCTTTAGGATTCTATAGGAATTCCTTTAGGATTCTATAGGAATTCCTTTAGGCTTCTATAGGAATTCCTTTAGGATTCTATAGTAATTCTTTTAGGATTTTATAGGAATCCCCTTAGGATTCTATAGGAATTCCTTTAGGATTCTATAGGAATTCCTTTAGGATTCTATAAGAATTCCTTTAGGATCCTATGGGAATTCCTTTAGCATATCCTATAAGAATTCCTATAGGAAAAGTCCGAAAATCCTATACAGAAATCCTATAGGAAACCTTATAGGAATTCTTATAGGAATTCTTATAGGACTTTTTCATAAGGGCAGGAACATTGCATATGTGCCAAAATATATTGTATGGCACAAACAACCTTACAGGAGGCTGTTTCTTGAATGAGGAAGCTTGCTGTAAATGGATTTCCCCAACTCGCTGAGGAATGAGTCGATAAGCGGGCCGGTAAGTTCAAACTTATTCAAAGCTTGTTCCTCTAAAATTGGGTCAAGATCCCGCATGCCATAGTTCGGCTTCGATTCGGTTCCCCTTACTGCTTTCATCCACAGTGTTTCCACAGAAAACTTCATTGCCACGAGTGCAGGGTTCCAAAAATGCATGGATCTCTCAGTGTCCAAGTTTAAGAGAAGAAAGCAGAGCAATAACCTTTTCAGCCTCTGTATTAATCGCCATGTTTATTATTTGAGGGAAATCTTCTCTGTTGGGAATAAACGCTTAATATTTCCGAGCTAGTCCTTTCGGAGGGAAACCTCTAAGCAACCAACCACCGTGTCAAGTATCTTTTAAAGTATAAATACAACAACATTGTGTTTGATAACTTAGAGTATGCTATTTGGTTAGCTCTTGGCGATATCACTCCTGGAGACATGTATGGCTATTACAAATACTTATGTTATATTTGATGAAGACGGTAAATACATATCGACAGATGTACTGAGCGACCGTGGGGGCATGGAAAATTGACCGCAACTTGCTAATGTACAAAGAATCCACGGTCTTATATGACAAACATAGCGGACAGCCACACAGGTGTTGTCTTCCTTGACCCAAAAATTGACAATGACAGCTTTGAGAATTTTGTAATTTTAATACCAAATATTACTTTCTGTTGAGAAAGAGTGTCTTTTTACGTTTTATTTTGTCAATAAACTGCCCAGGACATTGGATATTTTGTAACATCCAGTATCGTTGCCGGAATTCCGAAGAGCAAGCAATTTGGGCAATTTAGAAATCCAAGATGGCAGCTGTTAACATGAGAAAACTTGAAAGAGTTTTGGAAGAGAACTGTAATCAACCAAAATTTGCTTAAAGTTGTGGACAGTGATAGCTTCACCCTACTTAAAATTAACTCACTATTAAGTGTCAGAAGTCTGGAAAGTTTCCCAAAGGCCTACCATATCTGAGACGAAGACTCACAGGCTCTAGTGCACCAGCGTCTTTGAATGAACGGCTTGCTTTAGACATTTATGAACTTGCAACCTTTCTGGACACCAGTGTTGTCACTCAAAACTGAAGAACATGTTTAAACTGGTAACTGTAAACAAGTGCAACATAAGCTTGAATGAAATCGATCCTGACTCAGGGTCAGGGTACATGGAGGGTGAAATGAGATGTGAATCACTGGTCCTTTTGCAAGGCAGGCTGATGGAATTTAGAAAAAGACCCTGGACAACAAACTGAAATGGAAAGGACACATAGTTAGAAAACTAAGCCTGTTAAAGTCAATAGACTTCCTCCTAAAATATATGCTGGAGGATTTTTACTGGAAAGTAATCTTTCCATCCATAACATATTTAGAAAAAATGGCTATCCAAGGCTATAGACCAGCTTTCTGCACACATCAGCAACATTTACGGGAGCAGTTCTGTGGAACAAACTACCAGTTAACCTTGGGAACAAGAAACAATGTAACAAACTTTAGCTCTTACACAAACAATAATCATTCTAATTATGTCTATTTTTAAGCCTTTATGTTTTGTAAATATTTTTCTAATAGACAGATTTTATCATAGTTTGTAAATAGATCCAAATTACTGGTAAACACACAACCACATCAGCAATTTGCTGGTCATACTTATCATGTTTAAATAAATGTCTTTCAATTTAATTCAATTCCTTATACAATTCCTCTTTCTCAGTTTTCATTTCACTGTATTTATTTCTCCAGTCTTCATCTCACTTTGTCGTATGCTTAATTTGTACAAGTTGCTGTTTAATTTTTCTTTCTTCTTTCCTTTGGCTTTCCTACAGGCTTGTTTAACCACTGTTCGTATCTTATTCTAGTAAGTTTACAAAACTTCTCAAACCAGCCCTAGACCTGCAATACATTAGACCACCAGTTGTACAAGAAATTCTGCACACCATAGTATCTGCTTATTTGCCAAGAATCAAAAAGAAAATTGATGCATGCATTGCTGAATCATTTTGTTGTGATGCATCACCAATGGCCAAACACAAAAAGATCACGAGTATATGCTTCTAAATGTGATATAAAAAGATGGTAACAGAGATCTGAAATTCATTGGTATTGGGCATGTAACTGAGCATGGTGCAGCTGGTCATCTTGAAGCACTTAAATCAGGTGCTTGTGATACTGTCGACCTCAATCAAGTGATGAAGGGAGCCAATCATCTGTCGACAGATGGAGAAAATAAGAATACCGGACAGCATAATGGACTTTGGAAACTTTTTGATGATGAAAGAGAGAAACTTGGTGTAAATTTCCCTCTTCTCAAATCAATTTGTGCAGTACATTCAATTGCAAATGCATAAAAAGATTTGTGTAAGAGTGTACCAGAAATTGACCATTTGATAAAAAAAACTATCTGGAATTGCAACATTTTCCCACTCCTCAGCAACTTGCACTAATGATTTGGAAAAAATTCGAGAAAAAGAGGGCCTAAAAGCTGCTTTTCACTTACACGTTTTTTATACGCATGTACACGTAAGGAAAATTTTAAATGCTTTCAAATTTTTTATTATTTAACATTTAGTGCTGCCAAGGCATAAAATTGTTCAAATTGTGATCACAGTCTGAAACTTGGCACAAATGCTCACTTGGGTATGGGAACATGAAATGAAAGAGTTTGCCAAAAATTTGAGCACAAGAGTTTGCCAAAAATTTTGCACTCTTAAGGTGGCGGTTTCACACAATATAGCTAACTAATAACTTTAAAGTGAGAATTAACCAATACGAAACTAAAATGACTCATATCACTTGTCTAATTACGTACTGTCGAAACTACTGTGTAGTAAAAATATTGTGTCACTTTGTTTTAGTATCTGAGATGCTTAAATGATGGATTGGAATGTATGTGTTTTATGTCAACAAGATAATGATAATCCATTAATTTTGCCATCTGCAAATTTGAATCCAACAATATGTGGGTACTGTCAACTAGACAAAAATATAAATGCATTCATCAACGAAGGTATTTCATTACCAAAATAAGATCCTTGTAACTTTGGCAGACTTAGAAGGGGACACAAATGTTGCCGATAACCTTAAAGCAAATAACGCTCAATGGCATAAAGGATGTCAAGCAGAACTGGCACCATTGAAACTTAAACGTGCATTGGAATCAGCTGTAAAAAGAAAACGGAAAGAAGAACTTTCTGATTCTGGGAACGCACCAGCAAAGAGAACTCGTTCCAGTTTGGACACTAGCACACAATTACACCGTTTATCAGTCATAACAATAAAACAAGGTATCATTTGTGTGAGCCAGCGACCAACAAAGCGTTAAAATATGAATGAGGGGAAATGGACATGGAATTGCATTAAGCTCATATTCAATACCAAAATTTAAATATGTATAACCATTCATTATCGTCTAAAGGCATTCAACGTCAAGCAATAAACGTACAATAGCATGAATAAGGTGGCCAATGAAATCTAGAGAATATACATCAAAGTAAAAAATAATTCATTCTAATCAAATCGTTGTTCATTAAAATTTTTAAACACCAAGGGGATGTCAATAAA